GGTCGCGCGCAGGCCAGCCAGACCGGTGCCCGGGGGGGGACCAACTTGATAAGTTGTTGCCTGGGGGCTTGCCTAGTTGTCACGAGGTGCCATGTGTCGCAATTTCACTGGAGGGCCAAATCTGCCCTCATCACTAATGTTATGAGAGAGCATCCTATTTTTCATAAAAGCACACTAAGAATCATCCACTAGAAGGGGTAAGACTTGTTGAAGACGGTTTACCAAACACTTGGCGAAGATTCTGTATGAAACATTTGTTAAACTAATCGGGCGGAATTGGCTCATATCCCGGGGGCACCGGCGCTTTGGAATGAGGGAGATGCTTGTGAAGTTAAAGCTATCCAGAACTACTCCTTTTTCAAACCAATTTTGTAAAGCTATAATGAGATTAACTCCAATAATGTTCCAAATTTTTTGAAAAAAAAAAAAGCCAAAAACCCATCCGGGCCTGCTGGGCCTTCATTGCCCCCATAGAGAAGAGAAGGTTGCTTTATAAATTTCATATGTACTTAAGGGCTCACACAAACTAGAGCTCATCTCTAGAGAGAACAGGGTTAATTTTCTCCAAAAAAAACCACTATTTAAAGTTGGACTTGAGGATGTAAAGAGATCACTAAAGTAACTTCAAGTTACCTCCTCAATTTTCAGATTCAACAGTAACCATCTGTCATTCCTTGTTTTTGATGTAGTGAATTCGATTTCTTTGTCTTCGGATGATGGTCGCTCTGTAAAAGAATTTGGAATTACAATCACTTTCTTGGAGCCACAAAATCCTCAACTTTTGTTTCCACCTCACCTATTCTCTTTGTAATTCAATATCTAGTTGGCTTCGGAGATGGGCTACTTGTTGAAGATATGCACTGTCCACAACATTGTCTCGATCCACTTCTAATTGGCGTTTTATTGAGTTAATGCGGTAGCGGATGTGATCAAAAGAGTTCTTTTTCCATATTTTTAAAGCTTGTCTACATCTACTCAACATGGAACCCAAGGAGGATCGGCTATTTGGATTTTCCCATCTCCCATGCCTCCAAAATTACTCCTTGACAATTCGGGTGAGAGACCCACATTCCTTCAAAATGAAAAGGCTGAAAACCCCTCCAAAGTTTTTTTATGGCAGTGAAGAATAATAGGCCCATGATCTGAAGTCTGAACCCACTACCATCTCATTAAAGACCCACGCTTTAACATATCTCACCAAGTGCTCGATTCTAAGCAATGATCCAATCTTTCGCAAATTAAACATGAGTTATGATGATTATTGCACCATGTAAAGCGCTGCCCCACACTTCCAAGGTCAACCAATTGGCAGTCGTCGATAAACCTGTTAACTTTGGGAGCTTCCTTCTTTTTAATCTAGATTGGAAATCACATTGAAATCTCCCATCAAGATCCAAGGGTGATTAACTGATTGGGCTAAGGTACTGAGTTCTTGCCAAACTGCCAATCTCCTACTGCGAATCGGTGCCCCATAGACAAAGGTGATCCTTCACGGACAGCTCCAACTATAATTAGAAATAATGGCATCTATAATATGGTTCAAGGTGGAGATAACATGTATTTTAACCTCATTTGTCCAACCAATAATCAAACCTCCGGCACTCGGAAGTGCCAACCAGCTCCACCATGACTAAATCCATAAACCCATGATTATTAAGAGTGCGTTGAAGATGACTGGAGTGGATTTTAGTTTCTGCGAGAAAGATAACTGAGGGGTCCTGAATTCGAATATGCTCCTTCAATGCTAGAACCGCAGGGGCCCGACCCAAACCCTAGCAGTTCCAACATAATAGATTCATTTTTCTCGATAGCCTATGCAGGGGCTAGTGGGCTACACATTGGAAGCAAGCAGACCTCTACTTGGAGGATGTATTAACCATATGCGAAGGGGAAACATTGGTTGGGAGCATGACTATGGTACTGACCTAACAAAAAAAAAAAAAAATACTGGTGATGTTGATATAATGCTCAAGTATTCATTGAAACGTCAGCATTGCAAGGTCTCAAGAACTCAACATTACAAGATGCGCCTGATTGGATACAAACAATATCTATCATCTTCGTCACTATCATCTCCACCTTAAGGAGTTTGAAGAATTTAGAATCAAGGTTCAAAGTATTGACACGTATCGGCCCGTATCGGCCGATATGTATCGTTTCGAGACCCTTCTGATACGCCCCTACAGTGGGTGTATCGGAGGTCGGACCTGTTCAGGGGGTAGAGGAGACCTAAACTGGCCCCCCTGAACCGGTTGTGAAAAAAAATGAAAAAAAAGGAGCAAAATGTGTATGGATTCGCCCGATACGCCCCTACCGGCGTATTGGGCATATCGATATTTTGAACCTTGTTTAGAATATCTATAAAATGCTAACAGTACCAGAATTTAAAAAAAATTAATTCCATACGGAGTGCAACTTTTTGCCATTGTTGGGATTCTTGAATAAAAACCTTCTCTCATTATCATCAGCACTACTTACATAGGGAGTCCTCTTCTCCATTCTCCCCAACTACCTGAATGCCTTTCTTAATATTCCTTTGCAAAGATGAGTTTTCTTCCATTTCTCTAAGGCTATGTTGGGTTTGAAGGAAAAAAGTAGGGAAATCTATACCAGGTTTGTAAAGGTTTCCCCGCCTTTCCTTTCCTTTCCCCACTTTTTTCTTCAAACCAAACACAGACTAAAGGTTCTTATTGCAAATTCCTCACCCCCTAAGAACAAACCCAGGATTCTACTCACCTCCACTTCTTTATCCACCAATCTGAATTTGGACAAAAGGATATTATTGCAGCCCTGTCCTTAGAACTTCTGTCACAGGATCTATCTACGAGATAGGACTGCGGACCGATGAAGCAATAACCATTGGCGTGGCTGTGTATTGGTTTTGTGTTTGCTTTTCATTTTCAAATGTCACTCTAATTTCTATTTCTTTATTCTACTGGTGGCATCATTATTCTCCCCATTGAAGCAATAGAAGCTCAACAATGGCTCTATTATTCTATTAATGGATCTAACTCTGACGGTGTTAGCAAGCGAGCATACTTTATAAGACTACTAGAATATTACATGTATATTAAAATTTCTTCCTTTAAGTCGGGAAAACTGGTTTAACTGCTGTAGTTATGAGTTATGACTTACGAATACCTCCAGGACATTGTGCTAGAGTCATACTGTTCATGACAAATCCCAACATTGCAAAGCAGTCCCTGTTATGGATTTTTTTATTATTTTTTTTGGTTTAATTTCTGTAGGTTGAATTAGTTTTACATTTGAATAGGTATTCTCAATTGAACTCTAAATCGTCTGCAACAGTTACAATAGTATAAAATGCAGCAAGTAACCGGAAAACAGAAGAAAGAAAGTGAAAAAAAATAAAGATCCAAAGACTCTTCTCTTCACGAAATGAACTGACCCATACAGTCCTAAAGCTCAGCCTTTGCTTTTGAAGGTTGTTTGGCAACTTGTGTTTTCTTCCCTTGCCACCATCGCCTTATTCGGAATGCCACCTTGTTTGCATGCCACCTAAGTGCTGCCCCAGTATCTGTAATTCCTTTCATGATCCTCTGTTTCCAATCTGATTTTGTGGTTTCTATAGTCCTAAGAACTTTTCCCTGCAGGCCAATCAAAGAAATAGCCACACCATTAATAGATCAAAATTTGTTAAATAAAATTTATAAGAAAAAATAAACAAATAAACCATAATACAGATGCACCATATCATATATCAAGTGCTCTCAGTGCTTCTTTTGGCAAAAGGCAGAGCAATATGTAGATACTCCATAACTGAAAATAATAAATAAAACTATGATTTTCTTGATATTTTTGGTCAATACCAATTTAGAAGGGAAATCTTCTTCATCATCATCATCATCGTCATCGTCATCATTATCTTCATCCCCAAAATTCTGCATGTTCATTAGATCCTCCCTTGAGTACATTTTCATACTGGGTGCTCCTGGCATACCCTGTAAAGAAACTTCTGAAAAATAAGTACCAATAATATGGCAAAGAAAGTGGAATTGCTTTATAAACCATGCACATGCTGAAGTCAATGGAGAATTACTTCCATGGATCTCAATATTTTTTCCATTTCTGCCTCTTTAGACGACTTTGGAATAAAAGGTTCTCCTGGATTCCTATCCTGAGTCACAAGAAAACAGATATTCGTGAGCCTAAAAATAAAAATATCCTATCACTTCATGTTATAGAAATTGCGAAGACATGGCTTTCCATCTAAACCAGAACTGACCCATGTAATTAGGTTTCTCAGGCTTACTAATCTTGAACCTAAAAATCTTAGTGCTTGTTATGCATGGACCACGTATATCTGGAATAGATAAATTTGAACAAAGAACATAATTTGCATAGACAAGAATTTGCTAAGAATTTGTCAATGGGATGTCCAAGTACAGAATCTCACTGTACAAAGGCACTTTGTATACACCTTATAATAATACAATACTTAAACTTTTCAAAAAAAAAGTCCTGCAAAATGAAATATGTAATATAGGATGGAATCTTAAGTGCTTTCATTTGGCAACCCTTGGTTCTTTTGGTTCATACTAGGGAATCCTACTACTTTCTGAATTACATTCTACAACATTAATAAGATCTACAGGACAAGATTAGCATCCAGGGACAGATAACACTTTAACGGGAATTACATCTTGATGCATGAGTTTAGGGCTTTTAGACCTTATTGTTTTGTACTTTACTATTGTGCCTTAAGAATCATATTTCAAACTCTAAGTACCCTTTTTTCCTCTTGAATTTCAAAACTTTCAGATATTTTTATTATCCAGTTCTCTGACATGAGAATGTGAAAGATTTACTTGGGGGTTGATATGTAAATCCGGTAGCCACCATTGAAGGGATATGGATATGTGCTTATTACAGGTGCAACTTGGGCTGGGTTAGCCGAGACCAAAACCTGAAAAAGTTGAGTTGGGTTGGGTCAGGTTGACAACTGGGTTAAGGTTGACGCTTTCTAACCTTACTTCACTTTGGGTTGGGTTAGGGTTGATCCCTTAGGCAATCCGACCCAACCTGAACCCAACTCTACTATGGCTGTTGTAATAAGTATTCTAATCCCACTACATATCATCATATCCCTTTGTCTTAACTCTTAAGCCCTAACCCTAATGATAGGTTGTCATTATGATTTTCATTCCACAATAGGAGATCTATCCTAATTCGAAATAGACTCTAATCATTTGAAACATTCATTCTTTCCACTTTTGCAATAAAAAATAATAAAAAAATCAAACAAGTAAATACCAATAAAAATATGGTCAGTATACGGACATAAAAATTCAGTTTAAGTTTCTTAGCCAAAGCTTAAAAGAATTTCAGAGATTTTAAGAGGATAGGAGAAAGGTTGGGTTGGCTCCAACCTGAGTCCAACCCAATCTGAAGTCAACTTCGGGTTGGGTCATGGTGGGTTAGGGTTGCAGGATTTTAGGTTGGGTCAGGATTAGGGTTGACTAGGTCAGGTTGGGAGTTCAGAACCTCCTAAGGACTGCTTACCACTTGCTACACTCTGTTGCACATAAGAAAGCAAACAAGAAATAAAAGGAAATCCATTGGATCCATATAGTTGAGTTTCTCAGTGTTGTCCTGGTGGGCTTGCTAATTAGTCGATGGTCCTTAGTTATTAGATCATCTCCTCATCGTAAGGTATGGATAGCCATTTTCTGTAACTCTATATTGAAGAGCTTCACCAATCTAATTTTTGACAGATGCTCTCTAGGTAATTCGGTTCAGCAGGGATTTGAGAAACATTGTGAGATAGTACTATAGTAGTGTTACTGTTTCTAGCATTTTCGGGGCCAGCAAAGTTAGGAGGCTCTAGGACAACAGAGCTTATACAGTGTCAGACTTTAGGTGTCTACAGGATTGAGGGAGATTCGTAGGACAGATTGCAGAGGGGAGAGGGGAATGCTTGCAGAATTTTAGGCCTTGAAGGACAGCTTGTAATTCTGCATTAATTGGATCCCCCACTCCCAATGGTCCAGAGTATACCACAATGAAAGCACCTGAAGTATCTCCAATGACTCCGCTACCCTGGATGGGCCAGCATTGCCCATGCCGCATCCATCAAAATTGAGTTTGATGGCTCTAGAATCCAGAGGAGTCCATTGCAACCCTTTGACAGTTTTTACTTGAGCTCACTACTACCTGTCATCAGCCCATCGCCCCCTCTTTTGATAAACAAGTAACTTTAGCTGAAGTTTATTGATATACTACCTGCCATCTCCTTATAATATTTAGAGAGGAGAAAGGATTAAAACTAACTGCAGGAATGATCTCTGACATCAGAAGTGAACTCCCTGTTACATTGGGTTTCCAGATCAAAAATATCTCTGGCATACATCTTTTGGTACATGGCCCCTGTTTGAGGATATAGAGTGGTCCCTGATTTTTTTTCTTCTAAAATCTTATTTGCAATTTTTTATTGGGGCTCTTGTGTTCTTACCATTATATTTTCATATAATTTTTTGGTTGACCCTGAACAGAAAAGGGAAGTACCTTATGTTTTCAATACAGAGCAATGCTGTTCTTCATGCAAAGGCATGGATGAATCAAGATGACTTTGAGCATTCAACTGCATATCAAGATTATGTAATAAGGTTTTAGAACTTACTAATGCAGTAAGTGTGAGCAATATTAAATGGAACCCCTCTCCTCTTTTGTTTTGAAGGAAAATTGGAAGTTTCCCAGCTTTATGTCAAGCTAGTTAGCTTTCAAGATATCAAATTGATACTTCTAACTTCCAAGATTAACGACATAAGCAAGCTCTATGCCTTAGAATGATTTTAGTGGCTGCTTGTTAATCAACATTGAGTTCTCAAGGACACACAGCATCATTTAGGTGTTACTCAAGCCTTTAGGCTGTGTGAACACATCCAAGGCATTCTTTCTCTTCTGAGGGCATTGTGAAGGCAGTGCACAAAAGGAATTTGGAGTTTGAAGGTGATCCAGAACAAAATAGGAAAAGGAAATAGCACAGTATTGAGGAAAATAGAGTGTTAGTTTTGACAATGAATAGATTTTTTCTCTTATGACAAGATCTGCATAAATTGCACTTTTTCTTTTGAGAGAAAGGTGGCAATATATTTATTGACAAAAAAGAGTGTGAAGTAATCTCTAACATTTCATTCAAGAAATGGATCAGCTGACTCAGCTACCAAGGCCCCTTATTCAACCCTATAGCTCCATTTAATAACATCTGCTGAATCTCCCTTGATGGTGAGAGGAGGCCCGAACCTCTTAGTATTTGTAAGTTGGTATGGAGGGCAAGCACCTCAGTTTTATTTGAGGTCACATCTCCAATAGGTCCATTGAAGATCCAAACAGTGTTCCCATTTGGAGAAGATATAAGGATTTCCGAAAGGTTCCTTTGTGCAAGTAAATTGTACCTTAATAGCATGAATAAGTGTTTACATTGGCAGAAGGTACAAAGATGCATCAATTCTACACGAGGTTTTCTGACACATCTACTGGATGAAGATGAATAATAGATAACTAGTGTTTCTATTTTTGTTTTTTCTCCTGGTGAACTGAGGGTTGACTTGTGAATGATATTGTACAATATGGAAATGGATGGTTACTAAATACAAGGCATAAACTATGTGCATTTAGGGGAATAAAGTTGGATGGTATACAATATTACACAATGGATAGAATCATTAATATAATATCAAGTATGAGAGGGTGTGCGTCTAGATAGGTTGGATGACATGATTATTAGCCAATCAAGGTCAGAAAAAGGAAAGAATTGTATGGACTATGGACATTAACACTTAAAAATGATCAACACCTGGGCATTCATGCCAATGACTTTAGGTATAATAAATTAATGATACAATATTGCCAACACTTGTAGTCTGATTGATTATTCAGTTCAGGTAGAACTCTCAAACATGGAAGCATGTAGGCAAAGTATTCTTCTGTTTTTACTTGACTACTTTTTAGAATATTCCCTTTTAGTAATTGTAAAGAATATGGTTGACTGTTATGACCCTAAAGGTTATACAGCTTGGTTTGATGTGTTCCAATAGTCACGAAGATTTTGACATATTGGTCAAGTATGTAACCATTGCTATTAGAGCCTACCACCACATCTCAAGTTCAAATCATGGAAAAAGTACTTGGAGCAGAGTGAGAGCCGTCATAGGAAGGGCTATTTAGGGTAGAGTGAAAGTCATCATTAGAAATGGCTACTTGGAGTAGGGTGAGAGCTTCCATAAGGAAAGGGTGATGAACTGCCAAAGTGAGAACCACCATGGAAAGGGCTAGCAACCACCAAAATGAGAGCCATTGTGGAAAGGGCTACCTACTGACAGAGTGAGAGCTGGCTGGGGAAAGGGCTACTTGCCACCAAAGTGAGGGCCACCAAGACGTTAACGTGGAAGTGTGGTAGTATGTTATGGTCCTAAAGTTAAACAAATTGGATTGACACATTCCAACAGTGTTAAGGCTCTTGGCGTATTGATCAAGTATGTAACATTGAGACATAATAAATGGCCAACCCTGTCCTGCATGACCACATGGAAAAGAAGCTGATAAAACCAATGACTTTGTACTAACACATAATCCACTTTTATCTGATCCTATTGTATGGGAGTCCTGGCCCCCAGACTCTATTCTAAGTTTCTTCTAATATTAATGACATATGAATGTTGCAACCAAGAAAAATGTAGTTTAGAAGGAATTTTACTTGGATAACCAAACAAGGCCATCAATGAACCATTGACATTATAGAGGAAGGTTGCATCTACAACCTTTCTAGAAAGGATCTATCAGGTCTAAAATCTTGGCAGTAGACTCCTACAGACCTACTAATGGCCAAGACTATTGGGACATTCCTACACATTATCACACCTATGCTACTTGGAACAAAAGTAATAGTAGCTGACAGTTGGATAATATAGAAAAAAAAAATATCCCAAAAATGTGCAGGTAATTTTTCTGATTTGTTTCAAAGATTGTACAAAATGGATAAGAACATCAAGAGTCGAATTGATAAAAGTGGATAGTAATGATAGATGCAGTTGACCCTTAAGTTAGATGTCATTCATAATATTTAATTGATGCTAGTTTCTTGTCACTTGAACTGTTTAAATTATAGTTACCTTTGGAACAGGAGGTGGCTCAACAGCACATGTTTTTGTAAGATCATTGCAAAGAAACTTTACCAACACATCAATTTGAGGCTTGGATCGGAACAGATATTCTGCAACATCAGTGTCAGAATAACCCATAACCTGGAAAGAATTAATGTAAAAGTCCACATACGTCATAAGAAATGTGGCACTGGATTGATTCATAATATTTGATAACATCAAGAGCTGAAGTTAAGGTCATTAAATGGAGCCTAAGTACCAAAAAAATGCAGCAATACGAAATTACACTGTGCTAAAGTATTTCAAGGAATGATTTAATTTTGGGTTCACGAATATTGGAGATGAGTAAAATCATTCAAACGTTTTTGTCCAAATTGTTGCTCCTTGAGACAGAAAATCATTGGTTTCCTTGAAAAGAGAAGCTCTCTTTCAGTGGGTAACGCAGATAAATTTGATTTATCAATCACAAAATTTGGTAACAGCAAACGAACAAAGTTTCACCTCTTGGCAAGCTCGTTCGATGGTCTTACATTCTGAATTGCATTGCCCTTCAGAGTCTTGTTCAACAAGCTGGAAGATGAAGGATATTAATATGAGAAACCACGGTAACAAACTAAACTAGAAAACAAATATTATACTTTTACAGTAAAGATATATGCTATCTATTAATATGATATCCAGAAGATAACGAACGCATAGAAGAATCCTCAAGCTTGAGAAAAATTAAGAATCAATACGTGATTTGGTTACTGGGCCAAATATGTATCGTGAACCCTTGTTACTGTTTCATCAACAAAAAGTTACAAACTACGCAAAAGACAATTTTTTTTCCCAAACAAGATTGTGACGCAGAAGATTATTCTTACCTCCAATTTATCCCCCTTCTCTACGATGTCTATTCGTAGAATCCAATCAGCTTCCTGCTTCTTCAAATTGCAAACGTTCTCTGATATTTCGATGATCTGGAACTCTGAGACCTAAAAAGGAAGAATTAAATCAAATGAACACACCTCTTCTAACACAGTTAACCGTGAATCTTTTTTTTTTTTTTGGTTTCAACAGTGGATCCATTTAATTTAAACGAGTAAATATGGCTAAATCCGCTAACTTTAAAAAAAGGACCTTCTTGGGAGCGATCCGGGCTTCTTTGTTCTTGACTTGGTGGTATAGCTGATGAGCTATCTTCTCGCAAACTTGACATTTAATGTACGGTATATCTTTCTTCTTAGCGACTGAAACTGGTTTCTTAGCAGAGTGAGAGATGGGTACCCATGACGACATTAGCAAAGCTACTACTAAAAAGACGAAGATGGATTCCGTCTTCGCCATTAATCTCTGTATCAAAGCTCTACAGCTCTACAATATGCCCCCTCGATTTCGAAAAATACGAGATTCATACAAATGCAGAACTGAAGCAATCACTATATCAGTGCAGTGTCTTCGTTGGGTCATGGAAACAATACGCTTGAGGGATCCGCCGCATCGCCTCGCAGAGTGAAGTTCTCTATGAATTACGTGTTGGGCGTCTCCGATTGGCTACACGTAAGAAAAGTTTACTGGGGGCCCATTGTTTGCAGCCAATGAGAAGCGGCGTGTCTTACCTCACAGAGTGGAGTCCACAGTCCAAGTCGAATCGAGCTTGGCCCAGATTGTATAGAGTTGGAGACTTAGAGCTATGGAGTTGGAGTCCAGGTCCGTTAATGGGCTACTAGGCCCAGAAATAAGTGGGCTTGTTTACTGGGGGCCCATTGTTCACTTGGACGGTTAGTTTCAAAATTCGTTCGAGATGATAAATGATCAGATGGCTATAAGGTATTGAGCTCTGTCGAAGAGATACACCGCATCAGTTTGCCCTGTGTAAGTCAACGAAGTCCGTTAATGAAAGTCAATGTCTAGCGTGAGCGTCCACTTATGTGACTATGTGAGAGGCAACGTCATCAACAGACACCTTTCAAAATTCGAATTCGAGGGCGTAGTGTCACCCAGGTACATGCTAGTAACGAACGCCAGTCTGAATTCGAAAGGAAGTCCGTTACTTAGTCTAAAACCCTAAAAAAAACTCGGCATTTGCAAACCCTCCCTCTCCTTTCCACTCTCTCTCCATTCGGACCAGAACACTAGGGGTTTGCGCGCGTAGCTGTTCTTGACCTGTTTGAAAATCATCTAATCTAAATCACCTCCGGAGCTTTTCAATCCTTTTTTTTTTAATTTCTCCTGAATTATTGTAAATTTCGACATGGATGTAGTCGCCGTGGAGTCTTTTAGCGGTGGGAAATCGCCGGATTTCGGTCCTCTAATCGGCCATAATTATGAAATAATGTTAAAAGAGTCGGTAGATCGGTTCTTAGATGAATGTCGGAAAGGCATTTCTGATGTTTCTGGTTTTGGTTCGGTTTTCTTTCGACTACTGCAAGCTAGGGTTGATCCTCCTATCGAAGTTATCTGGTTCTACTCCGCGGTTAGCTTTCGTGGTGGTAATCTAGACGGACTAGACCCTCTAAGTCGGGTTTTAATGGTGAAGGACCTGTTTCAGCTGCTTACCGCTTGTTCGGCTTCGTGTAATGGTTTGAAGAGTGTTGCCGTACTAGCTCCAGTCCTGTTTGAGTTGCACCAAGTAATCGTTGGTTCCTCTGAGAAAAAGCAGTCGTTGAAGACCGAGAAGAAACTCACGAGGGAGATTGATTGTCTGATCGAAGGAATTGTTGGCTATATCAGCATATGCTGTAGTAAGGATTCAGATGAAGAAGATGCTTCGGTTAGTCTGCTTCCTTGTTTTACAGACTTGATTCGTGTTTGGATGACTGACCAACCGGAGGGGAACCGTGATTCGCGGGAGATTTTGAGGCTGTTTTTCCCGCTATCCAGTCAAGAGATTCGCCAAGAGCTTGGTGATGGAGGATGTATGGTCGGTAACCTCGCTGGAGTTGTTATCGCAGAGGCTTTCTTACTGAGATTGTCATTGAAATTTCGTACTGGAATTTCAAGAGCTGAGTTGCAGAACGAGTTGAAGTCTTGGGCAGTCGGTTCGGTTACTGGGTTTCGTAACTGTTACTTCTTTGGTATGCATTACTTTCCTCTTCCATATGTTTCCATTCTGTTTTGATCTATAAGTTTAATTCACTTCCCAAATCTCCAGTTTGTAAGTTGGATTCTTTGTGTTTTATAACATAACTGTTCCAATGGTTTTCCTCCCTCCCTACTGGGGGAGGGACAGATGTACACAGCCTTACCCCTGCACATACAGAGAGGTTGTTACCAAGATTTGAACCCTGGTTGCCAAGGTTGCAATAGAGTCACCCAACCGTTGTGCCAAGACCCACTGTTTCCAAGATAAGGGGATAACAATGAACAATAAATTATACTTATTTTAGCAAGATAAAAAAGTTTTCTACCTGGTAGTTATGCATAACAAAAATGCTGAATGCTGGCTATGTATACAACATTAACACTTGAGAATTTTATGAGAAAAAATAAAAAATGTCTGTTTTTGTTCAATGTCTCATTGTTTATAACAAGTCTTAAACAGATAATAGGGCATGCAAGGGAGGTGTCAGAAAGGAACTGCTGCGTTGGAAGATCAGAATCCGAGATCATGGAGTGGATTCAGTCGGGAGAGATTTTCCCAAAAGAAGATGACAATGCGGTAGAAGATGACTTAAAGATATTGGAAGAGCCGGATTTGAAAAAAAAAAGAGGGTGGGAGGGACAACAGTTTTGGAGAGAATGAACATGGACAAGGGGGAGAGAGGGACGAAGTTCAAACAGGGCTTGAGATGGAAAATGGTGACCTCCATGTCTCTAGGGAAGAAGTAGAGACCATTGATGAAGAGGATGAGGAAAAGAAAAAGTCTCTTTCAAGAGTCTACATAAGGAAACAAAAATCCAGAACCAGGCCTTTGAAGAGAATGCAGGAGTAGGTAAAGAGGATGGAGCAACAGGTACAGAGGAGGAAGAAGTAGTCATAGATGAGACTCATGGAGTTGAGAAATCTGTGGATATGGGAAAGGGTGCTGAACACAGGGGTGAGGGTCAGTAAATTGTTGGGTTTATTCTTCTTGGGGGGAGAGGATTTTGCAAAGGAAGCTTTTAGGGAGGTGGAAAATACTAGAGTCCAGACGAAAGAGAAGAATAAGGGGGTGGCTGATTCTGGTTCAGGGACAACTAAAGAATTTGGAAGTGTAAATATAGTTGGAGATGTAGAGGAGGGGAAGGGTAGAGAAGACCTGAGTGCAGATCAATTGTTTGAGAAGAATGCCATATTTGAGTTAGAAAGAATTAATGCTCAAAGGGAGGGATCTACAAGGGTGAGAAATGCCCTAATGCAGTAAGAAGATTTAGAAGACAGAAAACCAATCAAAAGAGACAAGTTTCAAATGTTTTTGCAAGACTGAAGATGGGAGTATATGGAGCGGGATTAAAAAAGCAAGGGAGAAAGATAAAAAAAGCTACCCAGATGAGACAAGAGATTTCTATATTAGACAGTGGGCATGATGAGGAAATGGATAAAGTTTAAGTTGAGCATTTCATCAGTTGGATTTTTTGGGTTTCAGGATGCTTTTTTCATATGTTTTCTGGCAGAATTTGGAGGTTCTGGGATTCAGTCTCTTGCTTGTTTTAGTTTGTTTTAGGAGTTGGTGGTAGGGCCCTTTGTGATTTTTGTTGTGATATTTGTAATTGGATATGGTTTGTTTCTTAAGGTGCTTTGGTATGTCTGCAGGGTTAATTCTCTGTTTTTTATGGGTTTTTGTTAGGGTGGATCTGTCGTATTTTGGGTCTGTTCTTGCTAGGTGATTCCTTATCACCCTGCTGTAATATCCTTTTCCTTTTCTCTAATAAAGTTTATTTTTTATTTATCTTCAAAAAAATGCTTTTTATTATATTTGGTTCTTACATCGTTTGGGGAATTGTTACTATGTACTGTGTGGCTAGGAAGCCAAGGAATGACTTGTTTGACCATTGTTCTTTAGTTGGGGAATATTCTTTGCTTGGTTTAAGTTGATCTTCTCTTCAAGAGAATGGGTGGTGTTGGTGTGCATTGGAGAAAAGTAATACCTTTTTGTCCTTAGTAGACGTTCAGGACTGTTATCAGTCTTGAACTCTAATGGATTTCAGGTTTGGAAATAAGGAAAAAAGGTATAGAGAAGAGAGGAGAAAGAGGGAGGAAGAGAAGTAGAACACAAGAGTTAAAAGGAGGAACAGAAGCTTAATGTTCTACCGCCACCACTTTATTTAATATTTATAGGTTATGCTCATTACATGGAAAGGACAGATCTGCCCTTAGTCTTTACATAACAAATAGAGCAAAATAAGACTAAAACAAATAACAACTGAAACAACTAAATGACCAACAGCTGACCCTAGGAAGACTAGAACACCTTCTACCCTACGAACACAGTGGGACCGTAGCTGTGGGGCCCACATCAGTGTTCTCTACATCCTTTTTAAGCAGAACAGGTATTCGCATCATAGAACTGAATATTAGTGGTAATTTATTCAGCAATCTCAGTATGGTTAGTATTGATGGCTCTTGTGGGAATGATAATGGGGAAAAACATGTCAATGTCAATGGCTGTCAAAGAATCCAGCAAAGAGAAAATCGGTCCTTCTGGTGGAGAGAGGTTGGTGTTGTTTCTTGGGAGTCCAAGAATCCTAAGACATGAGCCTTGTGCAGCAAGAGGTCAGTGCACTGACAAGTCTTTCAGAGATGATACGAAAGTAGTAAATGTTTTCTTTGTTGATGTTTATGAAAAAAGTTACTTGAAAAGATAGTGGGCTATTGCTTGAGGCTTGAATGGGTTTTCCCTTATTTGTCATATTTGTGGCAAATGGAGCTTTGTGCCTTTTTTTCAAAATGAAATTTGATCAGTAATGTTAAAACCCTTTGTTAGGCTTCTAGGAAGCATACTTGGACTTGAGGATTGGAAGCTCTGCATTGAAACAGACGACAATTTGAATCCAGTGGTAACCCATTGACTAGATAAAGAATCTGAGGTCCATGTTTGTATACTGGAGCTTAGTTTCATGAAGAAGAAAATTGGGAAATGGTGTAGGATTGAGAACTATAAATGGTGTCTAGGCAAGCTGAGTCTGCTGCATATTTATCCAAGTGATTCATATATCGGTTAAACTGTTCGAAAGGGTCATTACTCAATGGTGGTCCCAGCTATCCAGTGTCTTGAGGGTGTTTGACTAGATAGGGATCTAACCTTTGGCAATTTTTTGTACAAAGTGGCTACTCTGACTCTTTCATAGTTTCGTGTATTTTTTATATGTTTGTTGCATATATATACGAATATTCTTCAAAAGGTAAATTTATCTTCACTATTTTTATTTACTTGACCCATTCAGTTTTATATCAAGTACAGTTGGCAGTGGGCTGTGGGCGTCCAAATGAATATTCAGTGGGTGATAGTATCTCATAATATGGATAGTGCCTCTCCCTTTTCCTTCTACTTTATGTTGGACATGAATTTTCTTTTACTCTTATTTCCATTTTCTATTTTTTGAGGGTAAATTGGGTTTGACAGAATTCTTTTTTTTTTTTCAAAGGTAGGGTGATAGGAGTTTATCATTTATAGGTCTCATAATATATTTTTAACTATGCTTTTGAAAACAACTTCAGCCGCAAATGTTTTTCTTTTATTCTATGAATGCCTCCATAGTCCATTTGTCAATTTTGGGGTGCTTACTTTCTAATCTCTAATTGTCTATTGACATCTGTCAGAGACCCTTGTCAGGATGCTGCTAGAGCGAACTTTGCCTGTCACCTCTATTTTGGTGAGTATTTCTTCAAATGAATGCTTATTGGAGTCTGCATTTGCTAAACCAATGGTAGGCACACCACAGTTGTGTACCACCTGCCCCTCAGCACATGAAGAAATGCAATTTTGCATATTATTTGCTTAAAACTCCCATGTGTTGAGGACAGGTGGCATAAGTCTGTAATGTGCCTAATGTTGTTTGTATTTGTATACAACTTTTCCTATGCATTTCTTCAACTGAAAAAAAAAAAGATTGTGAAAATGATCAGGTAACGATTTTCTCACAGAATTCATACATTCCACTGTGAGTTTGTTTGTTGATCTTGACCAATTTAGTTGAAGATGCAATATACCTTAAATATATCCACTTTCTTGCTGCAAGGGGGTAATCGGGTATATGTTTTCTAATTTTCCTGATTTGTTTGCATTTTAACTGGTGCACCGAGTGTATTTTTGCCACAAACCAGGGTACCGAAGATGAATCTTTTCTGCGGAGAGTCCTTTATGATGTTGTAGTACTGGTGGAGTATTCTTTCCTCAATACTGATAGTGGGATCCATCTCCCTGCTTTCCGTATGAAAACTCTTGCTGTTGCAAGGTTGCTTGTTGCCAATGAGGCCATTCAGGGTGCCAGGTAAGAGTTGGATAAAATGGAATAGGACTGTGCTACATGAATTCTTTCATATCTAAATAATCAATTTGCTTTTTCCAGGGAAAATGGAGATCATGCCAAAGCAATTTCTTATATAAATGCCTATACTAGATCTCGTCTGCCTTCTGAATTGGTTAAATGTGTCAGTGGTCAAGTTGGCATTGATGAAAAAAAGAGTGGATCTGATTTTTCTACACCTCAAACTCTTATCAGTATGTATCTTTTCCCTCTCTTTTGTTCAATCTTATTATTTATTTGATATTATCAGTTTGTTCATGACAGATCTTTTCTTAATGTATAACTATAAACTGATTTCATTCTCTAGAGTGGCTACTAAAGCTTGATGATCAAGGGGCTAAAGTATTTGATCATTACATCTCAAAAATGCATATGAAGTTGAGGCTTGAAATATCAAAAGTGGAAAATGAAGCTCTGCTGTGGAATCCAGGCAGTGATAAGGTGGAAGATGATCTCTTCTTTTACATTGATAGCAAGGGAGAAAAAAAGGGAGAAGATGAAGAAAAGGCGGGGGGTGATCAAGAGATGATCGAGTCCATGGATGCTTCATTGTTGGCTGCTGCTCACACAATGAAGTTCACTGAAAATGATAGGAGGAGAAAACGCAAAGAAGGCAGGCAAACTGAAGGTGAGACAAGGGTTAAGTTTGTCAAGTACCACCTTCATGATGATTCTATCAGAGAGAAGCCTTCACCTTTTACTGATTATGATAGTCCAAGTAGTGCAAGTGAAGTGGAAGATCCACAATCAGATGAAGATGTTGAAATGGAAGAATAGAGTTCTAGTGAAGCAGAAAGATGTGATGGGGAAATTGCAGAACTTCAGTAAGCATGTCATGGACAACTATCTGCTGGTGGTTGGCTTAGAAAACTATCAGGTTCTGACTGATCCTTTTTGTCTGAACACCACCAAATGTTGTAGCAAGTAGCAAAGAACCAGTTCTAGTTGGACAGATCACAGATGAAGTTTCAAGAGTAAGTGGCCAGAGTGGAGCCAATGGAAGGTTCTGCTGCTGCTAGCCTTTTGCCAAATTTTCTAATTGCAAGGCCAGTTTGCAAAATCTGTCAATTAGTCTGATTTTATAGTCTTTTCTGATGTGGTTGTTGTCTGATCAAGTACACCAACCAAAGAAGAGGCATCTTGCTAAAATTTTCTTCTCTTTTCATTTCTTTATGTAAAAGAGATTTTAAATTTCATGTTGTAGGGCAAAATGAGCAGGTCCTATTTGATATATTCAATACCGTACCTCTCTTTGTAGCCGAGACTAATCAATACTCTGTTTTTTTTGTTAATTCTTCAGTCAATAACCCACCCTGGTTCTTCTTGTATAGGTCTTCTGGTTTGGTGGTTGGACATTAAATCCTTTTTTTCAGATCCGGACCTTTTCGATACTCTTTTTTTTTACTCTGAATAAAGTTTACTGATTCTAAAAAAGACTAAAAATGAGAATTGGAAAATGTTTAACTCATGGTTGTGTTGTAGAACAA